ACCTCGCTCAACGCTGCTAAGTTAGCTAAGGCTAACAAGCTACGCTACTTTGGCTAGCCCTGTGGTGTTGGCTGCTACCACTTGGTGCCAGCTCCCCTGCAGCTCCCTCACGAAACTTGAGGTAAGTTGAGTTTACCTGAAACTAACCTTATACAACAAATCTTGAAACAATGATTCAGCTGTTATTGAGATTACACAATCTCAAAAAATGCTTCAACGTTTTTAAATATCTAACGTTAATTTTGGTAACGTTACGTTCATTTGCAACACTTGATTTTGTCGAGACTTGCAGACAGGGCCGGTCCAAGCCTCCATGGGGCCCCAAGCAAAATTTGATTTTGGGGCCCTCTATTACTGCCAATAATACTGATTATTGATCATTCACACACCTACTATAACTTATTTCATGTTATACTCTGTCATAAAGAATACACTTGTAAAACTAGATGTGAGAAATTATTGTTGTAGTTAGATTGTAATCCACAGTGATTAAGACCATGGAAGCAGACAACAGATTTGCAAACTTGCAGAAAAAGCTTTCAATTAATATTTGGCTAAGTCAGCAACTCCCCCTACTGGCCACACAGAGAATCAATACATACAACCTCAAAGAGCAGCCCAGCATGTTTTACCTATATATGGTTTTTAATCTGAAATGGTAGCAAATTCAGCTACAAGAGCAGCCGGGAGTTGATTTACACTTAATATTTAAAGTGATATAGTACTAAGTTGGATGCCGAATGTCATCTAGGCAAACTAAAAGTAACCAAATAAACCAATCATTTACTGTAAACACAATCTGCTTTATTATTTTTTGTTTGAAATAAACTGCAACACAGAGGTGACAGTGGGCACAGTGGATGGAGCAAAGGATGGAGGTGGACCTAAGATGAAAAACAACAACAAAAGCTAGTCATTTTAGATGTCAAATTACAGTTGAAAATTCTGCTGCTTATTTTCTAAATAAAATAGTACAGTTAGAGCTTGTAATAAGAAAACAATCTGCCAGTGGAACAACTGAAAATTGCTTGAGACGTTTTGAAATAATATGCATTTGTCTAAAAACATGTCCCTTTTTCATGAGATTATGCCTTATATTAAAAATTATTCATCTCAGAATATTCTGCAGTACACTGAGCAATTACAAAGGCAGTTTTGTTGTTAAATTACCAGGTAGAGCTGAGGTTGCAGCAGACACAGAGGGGACAGTGGGCACAGTGGAGGGAGCAGAGGATGGAGATGGACCTAAGATGAAAAACCTGTCCCTTGTCATATGATTATATCTTATATTAGTATATCTTAATGAGACAATTTGACTAGAAATTAAATATATATATGGTGACAGTTTTTCCCTCACCTGATTCATTAGCCTTGGCTGAACCTGAGGAGGTGGACTGCCCCTGGGCTGAGCCAGTGCCTCCTCCAAAATACTTTAACAGTGCTCCTGGGGAAGTTTCATATAACTTATGACCATAATAGGGAGTTGATGTAAAAGGAATATGTTTATTTACTCACATAAATTACTATGCTCTGCAGCAAACAATTGCAAACAACATATCTCAAACTATTAGTTAACTAAGTTAATTCGTTAACGCAAAAACATATTGCTAGCAAACGTCACCACGTTTGTAATTAACGTTAGTTGTTATTATTATTATAACATCTATGAAACGTTATCAAAAACATTGTTTTGATGCCCAAAAGTGACCCAGAATAAATATATATCTATATCTATCTATCTATATCTATCTATCTATATATATATATATATATATATATATATTTATTTTTTTT